CTTAATATTAAAAAAATAAAAAAAAATAAAAAAAATAAAAATAAATAAAAATTAAAAAAGATTTTATTTTATTTACTTTAAGATTAGAATAAGGCCTGATATTTTAGCAAAGTACTAGATATATGCAAAATTTAGCAAAGAATTTTTTTATTAGAATGTTAAAGGTAGTCTTATAGGTGAATTCTTGAGATATTAGCATTTCTTTAAAAAAATTTTTATTATTGTTATACAAATTGATTTGCATATTATATCTGATTTTACAAATTTATTGACTAATTATATACTAGTAATAATCACCACCGGTTATAGTTATTAAAATTTTTTTATTTTTTTTTATTTTTTTATTTTTATTTATTTTTATTTTTTTTATTTTTTTTTATTTTTTTAATATTAAGATGATCATTTAGGAATCTGATACATTTTATTAACTTCAGTTTAAATATCAGAGCAACTACATAGACCACTCTCGACTTTGTTATATTTATGAAAATATAATTAACCATATGTATAACTTTAGTCATTACTTAATTAAGGGCTCTGCTATAACTATTATTATTTATAGTTACCTACTAATTGCTATACCTAAGATCTACTTGTAGATCTTCTATTTAACTCTCTGATCAACTTAGTACTATCAACAGATATTCTCCCCAAAGAGGAATTGTCATAAAAGCTCCTTAGAACTTTAAAGCAAATATACACTACTATATAGGAGTTTTTTATTCTCATAATAAATCTACTAAAGCAGTCCATATCTTATATATGTATCACTTAGATTTTTAGTAACTTATATCTTGACTGCAGCCAAGTACTTGTAATATTTTACTTCAACTACTGGCACCTATTTCTTGTCTTTGCAAAGTTTATACAAACCTTAGTACATACTTTACAAACTATTAACAATACTTTGATGCTAACTGTCAATGCTCCAAACTTCTAATCTAGATAGTCTAGAAGAAATCAGTAAATGTTCTCTAATATTCTAAATGAATCCTTTTCCTTTGGTTATTTGGCAGTCTGGTTAATATAATGCTTTTGTCAAATACTCAGTTTTCATTTAGTTTGCCTTTGATATCTGGTTCTCTAAATAATAATCCTTTACATAATGCTATTAAAAATCTGTGTTATTTCTCTACTCAGGACTTTTTAAGTAAGCTTCCATATTTTTAATCCCTTAGATTAATTTGGCTACTTCACTCAAAATTTATATAACTTATATATTACACTATTTTTTTACAACCTTCTAGTACAAGCTGGTATAACCAAAGTTATAGATGTTAACCTAATTAATATGTTATACAGTTTGCTATAACACATTCTATAAATTTAAATTTTGTCACTAGTTGAATTCAAACATTTATTTAGCTGCTTGAAAATATAATAACTTTCTAACTTCACTAAGTTGTCACACCTTTTATAACTATTTATCAATATAGATCAATTAAAAATAATCAATATATCGATAAAATAAATATATATTGATATATATTAATAATTAATATGTATCAATAAATAGATAAAAATTGAAATATAGCTATAAAATGATATGTATCATTATTAAATATTTTGATATATCGATAAGTAGATAAATATTGATATATATTTTATTATTAAGAAATTTTTTTATAAAATATTAATCAATATATAATAAGTATCAATATATATCAATAGTTAATAATTGATATATATATATATTTATATATATATATTTTTTTTGTAAATGCCATAGTTGAAACTTTATTTAAAAAGAATAGAAAGTGATTTATATTTAAAGATTTTGAACTACACTTGTGCTACTACAGTCGTACCTGAGTTATATCACCCCTTTTCTCCAGGAGGTTTTTGAGGATATAACTCAGGTAGGGATATAACTTAAGTATGATTCAAATTCAATATAAATAATCACATGATATATAGCCAATCAAAATACGGTCTTTTAAATAATACAAATTTTATATTATTAAAAATAATAGTACTAATTAATTAGATAACTATGCAATATTTGAATAAGCAACACGTTACTATTTTTGTTAATAAACACTTTACTTTAAGCTATCATTTTTGGCGCAAGTTTATTAAAACTATATTGCTACTAAAGTAAGTAATTATTATTTAAATATTTTAAAGCCTTTATTAAAAATATTAATGCTGAGATTAAATTCAGTTAGAGCTAAAATTTTGTTTTAGATTTGTTTACATTAGCTATGCTCTGTAATAAACTTAGCTGTTAGATCAAAACAACTATATATTTTCTTTGTAAATGTTATTTATAATTACAAAAAATATTTAACTATTTGCAATTTTTTTATTGTTATTATATACAAAGTTCTTAAATGGTATAGAAGTGCGAATAGTGCTCTGGATCTAGATAACACAAATATACACTACTGAACCAACTAAACTACTTTAATTGAACCTTAATAGTGGTAATGCTATGATTGAAATGTAGGAATGCTTGGTCTGTATAACAAGGTCAATTAAAGCTCTAGACTATGTCACGAGTCTCTTAGTACGGAATCATGGGATTTGATTACTAATTCCTGTCATCACTGGATTTTACCAAATGCTTATATGTCGAACTCTAAGTCGTGAGTTGAGAGTATTCTTTATTGAAGGCGAAAAGATTTTACTTATATACGTAATTTTACATAGTAATGAGATAACTGAGATAACTGAAATATCGAATATAATAAAGATATTGGGAATATTTAAACCCAAGTTTAAAATATATCACACTGTTCGGATTCAAGCTTATTTAATTATAACTAAGATATTTTTTGATGAAGCTAATTAATTGTTATTTGCCTTGAAACGAAGACTATTCAGTTATATTTATGCATGTAGGATTGATAAAAACTGCAAAAGTATTGATTAAAGTCTTTTTTTTTATCTATCATACCAAATAGATATTATTGTTGTGTATCAAATTAATATTTGCACCTGCTAATATCTATTTTCATCTTAACGTAGAGTTTCACCCTAACTCCTAAAACTAAGTATTTAAATATTGACCTGACGCATATTTTAATTTGATACACATTATTACAAATATTAGCGTTAGTATAATAAGGGAGTGTTTATTGATTCTTATTTAAATAAGAATAATTATATTGTTTATAATACTTGTAAACTACTTGATTATTAAAAAATCTCATTTAGTTGAAAACACGAAGTTTGAGAAAGTTTTTAAATATATAATAAAGTTCTTATTTTATTGTAGCTAATATTTATATGTATCTTTATTTATTTAACGACTTTAATACAACAAAAAAAAAATAATATCATATTGATTCTATTGATTTATAAAATATTTGTCAATAGTCATTTGTTTAAGGCTGGATCGGTAAAAACTTTCTGCCTTTTTAATAATTTGTCGCAACAAATAAATATCGTTCTCAGTAGCAAATTGCGATTGCTCAAGATATTTTTTTGCGACTTCTAATGCTTCTTTCTCCTCATTATATGTAACCAAATCATCTATAACTTCTTCCTCAGCTTCATCCTCACTATCCGAATCATCATTATCAATCAAACCTTGTTCTTTAAGAACTTCTTTAACAATAGACTCTTCAGTTGGTGTATCCATTGTTTGCACTTCCTTATCCACGTTTATATATTCTTCCGCTGATAATTTGGTACAATTATATGGCATCTCTAATTCTTCTAATAATTGATTAAGATCATTTATATCATTAACATCACTTGTATCAGCAGCTATGTTCATCTCTGATAGAAGTATTTTTGTTTTATTTCAACAATGTATGATTGTTGAAGGCATAACTTGTTTCCACGCATCAGAAATCAAATAAATAGCTTCTTTAATATTAATTGGCTCAATAGCTTTTACATTTTCTATTTCATTCAACCATTTTGTTACTAGTAACTTATGATAGTTAACCTTGAAAGTTTTAATAATACCGGCATCACATGGTTAGATAACTGATTTAGTATTAGGTGGTAAAAATTCTACTTTAATATTTCGTAATTTTGGACTTGAATGTGCACTGCAATTATCAACTATAAGAATCGTTAGCTGGTTAACTTGACAATCTAACCATTTCAACCAATTTTCCTATTTTTTTTCTGTCATCCATGCCTTTTCATTGTTAGAATAGTGTACGGGCAATTTTGACATATTGGTATACTTCATACATTGTGGACGTGCACTTTTACCAATTACAAATGGCTTAAATTTTTGCGATCCTGATGCATTACAGCAGAGAAGTATAGTAAGACGTGACTTG